TTCGATCTGAAGATAGCTCAGCTGCTTAGGTGCAATGATTTCTGAATTACTTAGAAAGCCTGAGTCTTCATACTGCTGTAACTTCGTTTAGTCTCAGTTCAGCCTAGTTTTTTTCAAAAATGGTTTTTGTCAGCAGATGCCTCGCTCAGTACGTATTGTTAAGGTCTTTTTTATAGCCCACAAGTGGTAACTTATACTTTTAAAGGCTGCACGCTTAGGGAATAAGGCACCTACGTTTCAAAAATGTGATCTTGTGCCACTACCTCCTGAACAGTTTGCGCATCTGCGGACGCGCTAAACCTCTATATTTATTTCGTTCCATTTGCAGATGCTTTTACGGCGCCTTTCTGAGACAAGCGAGACACCACTGCAAATTGACGAGCAGCCCGAGCTGGCTGCTTCAAGTTCACCAGAGGCTGCCACACCCAGTCACGTGCCTGGAGTTGGGTTAAAGGGGAACTTGGAGAAGGATATTTGGGAGCTAATGGTTGGCGTCTTTCGCAATAACTTAACACACACCGAGGTGAGTCTTTTAGTTGTTTTATATTTCCATACTCAAGCTCTTCCGTGACACCTATTCGAGTGATTGCATGCAATCGAGTACAAATTTATCCGTCAAATCGGCTTCGAAGACCTACAAGATTAACTGGTCCGTCGGATCATATGGAATATTTGTACGGCGAAAGGGCAAGGTAAGCGGTCCTTCATTTTGAAACAACTTTTCCATTAAGAATTCATCTTGCTCGAGCCGCCCTTCAAAGAAGTTCCGCGATTTTCAAGCACGTTGGCTACGGGAGCATTATGATCCGCAGCAAATGGCTCAGATAACAAAACAGTTTAGTCGTCCAGGCACCGATGTTTCCTCGGCCTGTGATGTTCCCAAACCTGAAATTGAAGCAGCACTGGGTGCAGAGGAAGAGCCCGCGGCCCAATCGTCTAATAGTCTGCCCAAGGATGAAGCAATGACCGAGGATTCTGACTGTGAATTGGTGATTACGGATGTGAAACAAGAACAGTCTGCTCCCAAAAACGCGCCATTGGTTCCCGCATCAAAGGAACAGCCAAAATCAATTAGCGATTCCCCAAATTCCTCACCAGAGCCTCCCGTTGATGTCAAAAGTGAACATGAAGATGTGAGCTAACCGCCCTCCGCCAA